TCTCGATAACACATCTCTTCGAGCTCTAGCTCACCTCTCTGGTGTTGTTCTTGTATTCATCTAATTAATCTAGTTCTTGCCAATTCTTCTTGAACTTCTTATTAGATCTCGAGTCTGTATTTCTGTATCCGTGACAACTTCACAGGGGTGATAAGGTATGATTACTTTGTCACAATATCAAGACCACTATTGCTTGTGACAAGTTGGACTATCAAAGGCTTGGACCATTTCCTATTTCTACACAGATTAATCCAGTTGCATGTCATTTATACCTATCAAAATCAATGAAAATCCATCTAGTATTCTACATGATTTTGCTTGAACCATACAAGATAGTGGACATACCAAGAAGAAGACAAGTTCCACCTCTTCCTATAGAAGTAAACAATAATGAAGAGTTCAAAGTGAAATAAGTCCTACATTCAAGGCGGCATCAAATTAAATTAAAATATCTTATCCATTGGCGTGGATATAATATTAATGAATGTACATGGGAGCCAATAAAGAATCTTGCAAATACAATAAAGACAATGGAGGCTTTTTATCTATGACATCCATCAAAATTAAAATAAAAACTTTCCTTATAAAAGAAATAAGATCTAGGCAAGATAACATTCTTCTTTCAATCCTTGTTTGTAGCTTCTTTGTAGTTGTGACGCTAAGAAGATGGAGAACCAACAACTAGCGGATTTGACTGAAGAGCCTTTGTTTGCTGACTTGTCGGATGAGATATTTCAATTGTCACAACCTTTAAGATGATGTAATCGAGATGAAGATACTGAAGAATGACATATTTTTCTTTAAATAGATGGCGAGATACAATGAGTTTGGTATCTCGACTTTGGAAGAGACTTCTGATGTTGGGTAATTTTATTAGAGGTTGAAACAACTCCTGACAATGTTCCAAATATTTTATTTGAAGGAAGTTATGAAGGCCTCAACAATGATCAAATAACTAGGTGGTCTTTCGGCCTTGGTATAAAACATTATTGATGGTTGAGAGGCCCTATCAACCATCTTCAAAGAGAACAAAAATCTAAGTTTGTGGCGAATACAATTTCTTGCATTATAGATTTTCTCAACATATGATGACCGCTCCTCATAGAACTTGTCCCTAGAAAAGAGGATAATGGCACGAACATATGCATGTAAGCTAGTAATTACTTGTATAAATAGGTAGAAGTAAGTAGAAGTAGGTAAAAGTAAGTTAATTCTATAATATCTTTTACGAAAGCTTCTTAGAAGCTTTATAGACACTTCTTTGACTTTATAGATGTCTTTAATTATCTTTTTGGATTAGAAACGTGGTCAACAAGTTGGCCATGTACCACACATGTTGTTAGCTTGAAGACTAAGTTAACTATGTGATCCACATATAGAAAAACTTGCCTTGTAAGTCAAGGCATGTATCCTACAAAGTCAACACACATTTGAGGTCCTTTAGAATATTGCCACGTAGCCTTTAATTAGATAGTATATAAAAGACAAGAGTGAAGCCTTCTTCACTTTTGTCAACTCTTTTCTAGCTTTTAAGCTAGTTTTAAGAGTCTCAAGTTTTCTTGTCTTTTGGCAATAAGCCTTTCCAGTTTTTTTTAATATACATACTTCTTTATTTTTATTTTGTCATTCTTTCTTTGATACGGATTTCATTAGTTTATGTATCATCTTTTAGTTCATGTCCTTGATATTGTGTTATAGATTCTTCTACTCTTATTTTTAGAATTATAAATTTTTCTTATAGGTGTGTTTGAATGACAATATCACTAGCAAAATATATATTTTCTTGCCAACCATGATTCATCAATTATTTTGCATGTTCCTACACATAAGAAGATGAAATTGTCTATACAATCTCAATAAATTGCAAGGACAACATGATCCTTCTATTTCCAAGTAAGAATTTTAGCTTGATTTATTGGTGGTAATTATTTTTTAACTTTAGTTTTGTGATTGGTATTGGCTCTATTTTAAATTTCATTTTTATCTTTTGTTTCCACACCATGTACTAAGAGTCATCAAATTTTGACCATTCTTTGGTAGTGAGGTTGTTTGAATTCATGTTCATGAGGAAAGGTCTATTGATACCCCAATTTTTGTATAGAACAACTTCAACACAACCCTTCTTCTTGTAAGCTTTATTTCTAGTTTTTTATATTTATGAAACTTATTCTAGTAAGTTCTCAATTTTATTGTTGCTTTGATACTGTAATATAATTATTGAGGTAAATTAGGTTTTAGTAATTATAGGGTTTAGTAACTTTATTCATAATTTTAAACAAGGTGTTACATGCTTTTTAGCTTGTCAAGGAAGGTGCATTTAGGAAGTTTGCAACTTCTCAATAAGATGTGTCATTTACCTTGTTTGTTTTTACTCACCACTTATTAGTTAAATGTTGTCTATTTGTGATTTCTAATACATGGAAACTAATCACTTGCGTGCCAGGTGGCATCAACGTCATCATTCACCTTGACACACGTCATCTAACATAAGTCAGGCAGCCCCCACGCTTCAACATCAAATACTCGTATTATACGTCACAGTACTCTCGGGGTCAGACCAGAACCCGCGAGGGTTCCACTCCAGACGCAAGCGGGTGCTATCCAGCGCATTCGGCATGCCCAGTCTGGGACCGATCGATAGAAGCCATGCTCAGATTCTGAAGCCGGGCCGTCGATTGGAGCTCCAAACTCAAGTGGCAATATGATCACGAATCAAATCGATGCGCAACTGCAACGAAATTTCCGCTCACTATCATGATCGCTTGTGCATTTTGCTACAGAAAAACTCAACCATTAACTCATATCGAAAATCTAGGGCTATTTCTAGCGGAGCGCTTTACCGCCCTGCTACTGGCACCCAGCTAGCAAATCCGAATCGGTCGGTGCCCTGATTATTGGTATTGATAAGTTAATCCTGCATGCAGGTAGAAGTTCAAAATACGCTTGGCTAGATGATTACGCTCGGTGGAGATATTTATTGTCATAAGGACTGGTAGGGGTTCAGGCAACACATTGATAGGGGTTTGCGATGGATAATCTGAACAATGTTTTCATTGTGAGTGAAGAAGAACTTCACATCAACTTCACATGTCATGAGATCATCGGTCTCCCGACCGCTTAGTCTAGATTCTATGCTGTGGAAGAGGTAACAAGTCTCAACAGTGTTTACCCGTGCGTGGAGCATGTCCAAATCGGTGCTGAATTAGAAGTGGGACCCATGAGTTTTTCCAGCATGTGACAATCGTCATGCAGACTAACTGCTGCATGAGGATCCCCTAGTTTCCTGATTGTACTGGGGTTGGGTTCAACACCAGATTCTTGTCTAACTGACTAGTCTGCGCTACAAATTAAAACTTTTTGGTAGGTGTCCAAATGTGGCAATGGAGTTCTTTTAGGATCATGCCGTGTTTTGTTTACGGCTCTTAATGCTAGCTTTTGGCAAACCGAGATTGTAAAGTCAGCTGCGAGTGGGTAGGCACTCTGTCTCTTGGCCACATATAGTAATATTTGGCTCCACATGGAAACTTTCTTCCTGTTTGAGATTGATACACGTTATTGAACTCTACATGTGGAGTGAGTGCGGCTTTCGGAATTTTGAGTAAGCGACCAGTAAACTCTAACGACATACCGAATATTGATCGTGATTAAGTATAAGTATCAATGAAAAGATGCGTGTAGATCGTCTAAAAGATCATGTGCGACGCAGCGAAACCAAGTGAGGTGAAGTGTCTCGATTTTCGTGCAGTTAGTCGTTCAACACACCAGCGTTTTAATACATATTTAACAGCTGGTTAACAGGCAAGAAAGACGTAAACGGCCATCTACACTCGACTGACTGAGCTTGGACCTCCTGTCTAGATTTATCTCTAAAAACCATGAGGTTTTGAAGAACATTTGGCTGGACCATCCTACAGAGTATGACTTTCTGTTCTCGTACCTGTATTTCATCATTAAGAGACAACTTTCATGAAGGCTTATGTAAAACTTTCATGTCGACTTCATCATTTTATTACCCTCACCATATACACCAAAGTCTGCGCTCTTCATTTTCTTCCAACTGTATGTTGACCCTGAGACCTTATGGATTAAAAACAATCCAGTTCACGAGCTTGCAAAATCATGAATTGAATTTTTGTGAGGGACTTCTGCTCATAGAAATTTGTAACTCACCTGTCTAATGTCCTTGTACACTATTTTAAGGGTAGAATTTAGTTGTATTTTATGGGCAACCCTGCAATGCACAGTGTTTCTCGTGCTTCCGATGTGGTAGGTTCGTCTAGATCGAAACAGCATTGAACATCTAATAATATGCAAAGTTTTAAACGAGGAAACACCTTTGACTTAAATAATTTATCAGACTGGAAAAAATGTGGTTTGCCGGGGTCAGATGTGGTGAATGAAAAACGTGCTAGCATCGCATCACTGAAGCAAGTTCGACGTTCTGTTGTTCCTGATTTAGGCGAAGAGTAATGGTCTTGCTCATGAAACCTGCCTCCGAGAATTACGGATATTAGGTCTCATGTTATGATAAATGGTTTCAATTTCACGAGACAATCACGAAAGCTCCATTGACCATGTGTCATTCTCTTTCCCACCATAATCGTGTGTTGTAAAAGTAACATAGGACATGTGATTACAAGTCTCAGGGTGCGAAGGAAGGGGACTGGTACCGACAAGATTCTAATAATTGAAAGCCGCATTCTGTCTGTGGACCTGTCTTTGTACTGCATCACATGCATCACACGTCTGCGGGTATAAGCATTCCTTTCATTTGAAATGAGGAGGTTGAACATAAGGTTAGTAACCACTTTTGAGTTGAGCTGACGGTATTACTTCATCTGAGAGGAGTGTTTTTTCATACGCCCTTTGAGTAACCCCAATGTTGACGATGCATTATTTCTTCCTTTTATTTCCAGCATATGTTTACCCGAAAAGAATATTCACAATGCATGTTTTTATTATAAATATCCAATAAATAAACTAGCGAGATGCTGCTCCACTTCAAATTGAAAGGGTTATTTTTTATTAATATGTAAGATACCTCACGTTTTGGAAGAAGACAACCATACATGAGAAAGTAGGATCTCTTATTGCCAGTTTAGTCATTGCAGCATTGCTATCGTGTGGAAGAAGTTGCTGCAATCAATTCATGAAATATTTGCAATCCGCTTCCAACACATGTAGGTGAAATTTCCCTGTCTAGTGAGGTCGATTACATATCTTGCAAGGAAACTCCTTGCAAACGTGAGGGTCGGGTTCACCGGAGAGATGGTTAGGACGCGGTACGCTCTCCCCCCCACCAGGAGAACGTGGAACATCCAATGCATGCGGGACAATATCCTTCATGAACCGTTGCAAGCATGATGGGACGTTGATTGAGTCCGACGAAGAATTTGCCTCCTGACCGGCTCTCAAAGCCATACTGGAAGTCGCCTGTTTGCAGAACTTCCTTCTCAAACACTTGAACGATTCCCACTGTTCGCAATGAAAATTAGAAAATTGCCTTTCGTATGCAGACTTAAATTGTGAGTTCTTGCTGTTGATGAAGTCTGTCACTGAAATTCAGATTCTAGAAATGCAGTCACCAACATGCCGATGTCGTTGTGTGCAGCTAAAGTTGATACGTAAGACAAAGAACAAGGAAAATTTGAAAGAAGTCGCTTAAATTACCAACTCCATGTACTTGCGGCTAGAAACAATCCTGATCAGATCTCAGCAACGCGATTAAAGCAAGACATTATTACTGGTATATATCATAACGAGATGTCAGTGTGTTAGAGAGCTTACCTGGTGTGACACCTGCAGTCCTCTTCTGAGTTCTAGAGGAAGGTGATGCGAGATCGTGTGGCAGGAGACTCGTTAACTACGGTATATATACTGGTGGGATAAGAGCATGTGGTGTTTCAAGACAACGATGCAACACTTCATACTGTTCATTGCCCGTACCAAGGTCTACAAAGTACAAAGTTTCTTATTCTTTTGGCTTTCATTCCTGATTGTGACGAATCATCGAATATTACCCGATTTTCATCTCTCTCTCTCTCTCTCTCTCTCTCTCTCTCTCTCTTCAAAAGTATGTGTATATTTATGTGTATTTAAACAAACTTCAATGTCTTTAGCACAGATTTGCTGTAGGTCGCTCATTGGCGTCAGTTCCGGCTTGGGTACGGCATGCCGCAACGTGCATCACTCCATATCGCTCCACAATGACAAATTCATAGTAGGGGGAAGCGCAGGCTCGCCGCGTGTTAGCCTTCATTGTGTGGACGTTACTGATTTGACACGTGTCGCACGCAATAAAGTTTCAAACCATGGATCTCCGACTATAGTCGGTACCGCTTCACTGACCTTCGAGACGTGGCGCTGGGGTGAGTCCAATGATGTAGATTTGGTGGTATAGTTGTGGTGGTACAGTGCTGATCTATAGTTGTCGACGACCCAAATAAAGTCATGATTCTGTTGAATCTGACGTCCGCATCCAAGCCTAGTTTGTGTTTCGAGGCGTTTGGATCGACACAACTCCGATTGCAGAGTAAGACAAGCGTTGATTGTTACAGGAGTGAAAGGAATCCACTCTCCAAATAGAAACTAGTATGTTGCACTGAGCAATATTCAATCAAATACATCGTCCCGTGAGTCACACTTACCAGTTCTGTATATCTTCATCCTCATCACGCCCTTACACCCCCAATTGTTGTCCTTATACCTTACCAAGGGTGTAAGGAAGAATGATTTTCCTTAGAATAAATGTAACGATGTAAACGTTGAAAAAGATAGATAGGTCTTCGATTTTTCAGTATAGTTGTGAAATCAAAGTGCAAGTTCATGGAAATGGGCGAGAAAACGATCATAAATTCCTCACAACAATATTTCCAAGACAGCTCTATTGCATTGATAGTTGTCAGAGTGTTCTTCAAATGCTTGCTCAAGTATTCGTTCCCTGATGGGATGTCTTGCATTAGTTTTTACTCTAAAAGATTAGCTTCTAATCGTATTGAGCAAATTGTTCTTTGTCAAATATAATGTCTATGACTTAGCTTTTAATGAACTTTTTTTGGTTGTTGGTACGAGAGAATAAGTTGGAATGCTAGACCTTTGGCTGAGGAATCGGCAACTTCATCCTTCGCACTTATACACAAAAAATCAATCTATCTAATTCCCAGATATTCTCGATTGAAGAAATGCTTCACATCTGCATGGTGCGGCTTCTTCTAAACGCTCAACCGTCTCTAACAAGTGAATAGCTGACGTTTAGTGGGGTTTTTAGGGCCACTTTGAGTAAGGATCTATACTGGTTGTAGAATATGTGTTCTTCATAATTTTGTTCACACCAAAGTTTACAAAAGATATCCTTCCGCCTATTGATAAAGAGATTGGACTTCAAGATAAGGAGGTTGAACTTTTTCACTTGGGTCTCCACTATAGGGCAGATGTTGATAATTGACAAAGTACCTTGGCAACATGTTTTTCCTTTCCTCCATAATAAACACATTGACAACGTTATCACAATGCCAACTGTGATAATTGAAAATAGGGCACCATCTGAGGATAAACGAACACCTCTCTCATGACTTTGAATACTGCTTTGAGTTGGCAATAACGTGGAAACATTTATGTTTTTAAAAGACTACTACCTGAGAACGCGTGGTACTCAAACATGCTTTCGACTACTTCATCGAGATTTGAGACCATATAGTTTTTTCTTCAGTTTGCAACACAGATGTAGTGTATTGATGTTTGTGAAGCTGTCTTGTTGAATCATGTAGGATTAGGATTATGAAATTCCAATCATGTAGGATTAGAAAAGCATGCCTAATGGTAATATTTTTCATACTTTTTTTTTGATGGGATGGGTATATTGTCAAATCTATAAAAGAAATGGTAGGATAATATTTAATTTATACATTGTTTGATAACATGATTGCAAATGAATTTAGTGGGAATTACAGATTGTATGAGTGAGAAATATTTTTCATCCTTTAACAATCTATCATATTAAAGGCTAAAATAACTTAGAATATCTTTATAAAGTTCATTAAATAATTAATTATTTATTCTATGATTAATAACTATATAGAGAGATACAAGTTTTATATAAATAAATTTGGAGATGAATTATATATATATATATATATATGTATTTAAATTAAATTAAAGAATTAATATTATAATTTTTTATAAGTGAATTAAAATGGTATCCTTACATAATTAGTTGAATTATTTTGATAACTTAATTGTTGTTGTACTATCCTTCAATAGTTAATGAAATTTTATAAATTAATATAAATAAATAAATAATTCTATTTTGTATTTTTGTCAAAATAAAAGATCTATTCTTGTGATTTTATTATTTAAAAATTTAATAATTCTCAATAGGTAGAAACACAGAGGTTGTTAAAGTAGAAAAGAAATTTGTATTTTTAAATCCACTAGCACACATTATAAAGATCATCTACAATAAATTAAAAGATAAAAAATATAAGTGATATCTCTTTAAATTAAAATTTAGTTAAAAATTGGCAAAAGAACAAAAAAAAAACAAGTGAAAAAAATATCAATTTCATTTTATTAAGTAGATCTCTAATGATTTTTTTTTTTTTTTTTTTTTTTTTTTTTAGAAACAAAAAATTTCTAAGAATTCAAAAATTTATAAATCTTGGGCTTCTACAATATAAATTTTAAATTTTTTTAATAAAAATAATAAAAAAAACTATCAAACAATTTTTTCAAATAATTCTAAATTTATATATAATTATTAGAAATCAAAAGACACATGTATAAGAATACATGCTCAGCTTACACTATGGTAATTTTTCTTCTTCATCCATAAATAGGTTTTAGGCAATTTTAATAAAAAAATTGTATACTTGGCTTTGGCTACATCCATTCACAAAATTTGGAACATGAAGAAGAGATTCTAGAAGGGCCTTTGTAAGCACTAAGGCTAAAAACAAGGAAAGTAGGAACCAAGGGGATCTTAGCAAAGAATTAGGATCAAAATATACACAGAATATAACTAATCTGCTATAAGAATTAATATTAAACTAGAGACTTGTCCACTTCGAACAAAATTCCTTGTGACAAACACCAATCTTCTTAGTTGATTGTTGATTGTAATCTTCCATATTTTATATTTATGTTGATTATGCCTAGAAGCAATGTGCTAACAAAATGGACATTAGTACTACACAAATGAATGAAATTGTATAAGTGCAAACTATCCTTCAAAATTGCCAAAACACTAATTACCAAGAAGATAACAAAAAAAGTGAAGAAAATGAAAAACCTAGAATTTAGCGCCACCCCCATCACCTTCAGTCTCTAGTTTATTGGTAACATCCATCCCCTTCCTCCCTCTTTCCCTTCCTCCACACTCCTCCGTTACCTCCATCTCGACTCGAAGTAGGCCTCGTTCGGGAGCCAACATTATCAACTTGTATCAGACATGCACAAAAGGTTGTTCTCCTATTGGCGGCTTCAGAGACCTGCAGAAGCGATGTGAGATCCAGTAGTTGCGAAGCTCAGAATTGTCACTCATAGCGGAGTCGTGATGTGTGTACTATGTCGTGCCCCTCGACTTGAACCATGAGGGAAAAATCGAGTTGAGCAAGGGCTCTGTCTGTGAAATATGCCAAGCCGTTGCTCAACGCAATTTACTCCTATGTAACACACAAGGAAGGCTAGCGGACCAAAACAAGAGACAAAATTAGATTTGTATCCACACAACATTCTCTTTTCAGCCGATAAAATACTCTTAACAATCGTACTGTTTATGCGAACAAACGAATCCACATCTTGTGCTTAACTCATGGCACTAAACGTAGCTTCTTAGTAATATGATATTACTTGTTCAACTTCGGCTATTTGATGAGGCCTCTTAGTCGCAGAAGACATCTTTGCCGACAAAGAGCTCCATGAACCAGGTTCCATCCCACGCTTTTTTCCGTTTCGCATCACCTTGAAGTCCCGAAAAGAGTACTCTCATAGTCCAGATTATGACCATAACGCTGCATCTTGCAGTCACGACATCGCCGCATCCTTTCGAAACTGGCTGAATTTTGCAAGTCGCGGCCTGGGTTGCCAATTGGGCAGGAGAATGGGTAATCCTGGCAGCGATGACCGATATCTGGCTCTTCATTTCTCATAGAAAATGCAGCGGAGCTTCCAGCTTCATTGGATTCCATGACCGAAACGGATTGTGTTGTGAAGCTAGTACTCTCAACAAACTGTGATCTTGGAAACTACAGGACTCTCCAATTGCAGACGTACTCGAGCGTGCAGGAGAATAGATCAGTCCAGTATTTTATCATCAATATGATTCAAGTTTGCAATGTGGCTAGACAAGATACTATAAATTTGAAATTGCGATGAGAAAAAAGCTGAAATGAATTAGGTCGGGAGAAACTGCGAATGAGCAATGCAGTGCATGCACATACACATGTTTACAAATGGAAGAAAGTCTGGGACTGGATGACAGATATCCACGAGCCCTAGGGTCGTGCAATGCAGACGTAACAGTGCACAGTTCTGCTAAAATATTTCTTGGCAAGAGGAGGACAAAGAAAACAAATCATTCATCAGTTTATATCATTTCTTAATCGTTTCATTTTATCTTTACTTATAGAGATGTAAACAATAGAAAACCAGACAGCCACATCGCATTAGTATCCAAGATATCCAATGTCGTTCATTGTCAACGGGTCGGGTGAGGACGAGCCACAGTCCTCCATGGGAGGCTCTTCAATCAGTGGCTTTGAGCTGCTCCCGACTGCCCCGCAGGAAGAGGGGTTTCCCAGAGCAGCCCCGAGATTCCGACAGACGGAACGGGACTCATCCGCCTTCGTGTTCTGTGACCATGAGCGTAAGGAACGTGCAGTGTGTAGAAATCAATGGGAGCATTAATATATTAATACTCAATTTAATATATATATATATATAAGTGTTTTTTTTTCTTTTCCTTAAAAATCAAGATTTGGACAAGAAACTATTTTATAACAACTCAAGGAATATCA